TTGTTGGCTATAGCTACAAATATCCCCCAGCGACTTAACACTGCTCTTGTGCTCCAGAGTCATACATATAGTTTTTCTATTTCTATATAGTTTTATAAATTTCTATTTTAGTTCTAGCTGTATTCATTTGAATAGAAGTTAAACAAACATGCCTCTGCCTCAGCTGGTTTATCTAAAAGCTGGCATGCACACTGAATATGACCGGTTGCTTGTGAGGTTCCTCATTTGTAAATTGATTTGGTTAAAAGCATCTGCAAAATTTATTATAAATATATGTTTTAAATATTTGTAATATGCATCACAGTTCAAAAGTTTTTTTTTTTGAAAGTCTCTTCTGTTCACCAAGGCTGCATTTATTTGATCAAAAAATATAAACAGTAATATTGTGAAATATTATTACAACTACCCTAGTTTTATTATAGACTTTCCTTTACTTCTGTGACAGATTTTTGAGTATGTCTGTATTTTCATAGTCCGTCTTGATAAAGATGATGGCTTGTGCTAGTCTGATGTATGTCTAATGCGTCTCAAAGGAGGAGAAACTACAATAATCTGACATCAGTGTTTAACCAGATACAACTCACTCCTGTGTGCTGGAGCAATAGGTACAGCTCTACCATTGTAGAGTACCCAATTACCCCTTTCTTATTTAATGGCAGATTTACTTTTCAGCGCTTTATATCATGTTTTCAAATGCAATATATCATACAGATTAAGTGCAACTACAAGAAACTAGACCTCCAGCAGTTCTGGGGACTGATTCAGTCTCATATTGATGCCAGTTAGGTTTTGTTATCTTCTTAAAATGGAGCACAATTAAAGCACTTTGTTTTTCAGTTTCACTATCTACTGTAAGATAAATGAGAGGGAGCTTCTTCTTTTTCATGTTAATTTGTCCTCTGAACAAAACTATTTAAGAAATAAAAACCAAGCAATTCCAGTCGTCTTCAGATTCTCAATTTTCCACCCAAGCAGCAAATACAATGACTCGCTTCATTTTCCCTCAGTACAGAGAGTTTAGAGAGCCAAACTAAAGTCATCTATTTTCCTATGTTTTAGTGGTTGGAAACAGTTCATTATGAAACTAAATAATTGTACAGCAATGTTTTGAAATATATAATCGGTTCACCTCTTTGCTTTCAATAAGCGACAGGATTGAATCTGTATGAAGTCATCTGTAAACTATGTACATTATTTAACTTGCTGTCTGATCATTTTGACTTATTCCTCATGTAAAAATGTATGCACATTACAAATTCATAATAAAAGCCTAGCAGGAAAGTGTGCAACGATGCAAATAAACTTTTAAATGTGCAGCTGTCACATTGTTTACGTTGACTACGAAACTCGTAAACTATTTTTTTAGAATTGCGTGGAAAAACTGTATGAACCGCTTCTCAATGTTATTAACTCGTCGTTGTCTTTAGGTCACGTCCCAAAAACATTCAAGCTGGCGGTTATTAAGCCTCTTATTAAGAAACCACAACTAGATCCTAGTGAACTGGCTAATTACAGACCCATCTCAAATCTTCCTTTTATGTCTACAATTTTAGAAAAAGTTGTGTCTGCTCAATTGTGCTCCTTCCTGCAAAAAAATGATCTCTATGAAGAATTTCAGTCAGGTTTCAGGCCCCACCATAGCACAGAAACTGCACTTGTTAAAATTACAAATGACTTGCTTCTTGCGTCAGACCAAGGCTGTGTCTCATTGCTAGTTTTACTTGATCTTAGTGCTGCGTTCGATACTATAGATCATGACATACTCATAGATCGATTACAAAACTATACAGGTATTCAAGGGCAGGCTTTAAGATGGTTTAGATCCTATCTGTCCGATCGCTACCACATTGTTCATTTAAATGGGGAGTCATCTCAATTATCACCAGTAAAGTACGGAGTGCCACAAGGATCTGTCCTAGGTCATCTACTATTTTCAATATGCATGTTGCCACTTGGTAATATTAGAAAATATGGGATTAGTTTCCACTGTTAAGCTGTGAACTTTGACATAGTCACCACTGATAAACTACTCCTAAATGTTATACTACTGTAAATATATCAAAACTTAATTTTTGATTAGTAATATGCATTGCTAAGAACTTCATTTGGACAACTTTAAAGATGATTTTCTCAATATTTAGATTTTTTTGCACCCTCAGATTCCAGATTTTCAAATAGTTGTATCTCAGCCAAATATTGTCCGATCCTAACAAACCATACATCAGATTATTTATTCAGCTTTCAGATGATGTATAAATCTCAATTTCAAAAAATGGACCCTAATGACTGATTTTGTGGTCCAGGGTCACAAATGTTATTTATATTATTTATGAACATATAGGATATGTTTGAGACAAGTTTGTACAATATTTGCCTTCATATTTCATGCATCTTTTCAGCTAACATATTTAACAAGTAATTAGTTTTACGTTTACAGTGTGTTGTACTTCACGTGTTCTGCACTTGGAACAGAACTTTCTTTAATCAGATGGTTTTGTAGTTTTTAATAAATTTGTTACTTGAATCATGTTAAAATTACGATAAGAGGACTACTTAAACCTTAAAAAAAGAAGAACAACAAAAAACATCAAAATCATGATCTTGAATTGGTCAAGTCTTCTGGAAAAAGAAGAAAACAGACAATATACACTTAGGCTTTGGATGGTGTTGTGATGGTGATGATGTTGTGATGGCGATGATGATGTGATGGTGTGATGGTGATGATGTTGTGATGGTGATGATGTTGTGATGGTGATGATGTTATGATGGTGTGACGGTGATGATGTAGTGATGGTGATGATGTTGTGATGGTGATGATGTTGTGATGGTGATGTTGTGATGGTGATGATGGTGTGATGGTGATGTTGTGATGATGGTGAGGATGTTGATGTTGTGATGGTGGTGATGGTGATGTTGTGATGGTGATGATGGTGTGATGGTGGTGATGATGTTGTGATGATGGTGATGATGTTGTGATGATGGTGATGATGTTATGATGATGGTGATGATGTTGTGATGGTGATGATGTTGTGATGATGGTGTGATGGTGATGTTGTGATGGTGATGATGGTGTGATGGTGGTGATGATGTTGTGATGGTGGTCATGATGGTGGTGATGATGTTGTGATGGTGGTGATGATGGTGTGATGGTGATGATGTTGTGATGGTGGTGATGATGGTGTGATGGTGGTGATGTTATGATGATGGTGTGATGGTGTGATGTTGTGATGGTGGTGATGATGTTGTGATGGTGGTGATGATGGTGTGATGGTGATGATGGTGTGATGGTGGTGATGATGGTGTGATGGTGTGATGTTGTGATGGTGGTGATGATGTTGTGATGGTGGTGATGATGGTGTGATGGTGATGATGTTGTGATGGTGATGATGTGATGGTGATGATGTTGTGATGGTGTTATGATGGTGATGGTGATGATGGTGTGATGGTGATGTTGTGATGGTGATGATGTTGTGATGATGTGATGGTGGTGATGATGTGATGGCGATGATGGTGTGATGGTGATGATGATGTGATGGTGATGATGGTGTGATGGTGATTATGTTGTGATGGTGATGATGGTGTGATGGTGATGATGGTGTGATGGTGATGACGATGTTGTGATGGTGTGATGGTGATGATGTTGTGATGGTGATGATGGTATGATGGTATGATGGTGATGATGGTCTGATGGTGTGACGCTGACCTGGCGAGCTGACCGGTTGTCTGGTGAAGGACACGTTGAAGGCGGGCTCCTCACTGAGCGCTGACGGATACATCCTCCGGCGAATGAAGAAGCCTGCTCCGCAGCAGAAGAACACGCCCATCATCAGCAGCAGCCTATGAGAGAGCAGACACACACGACTAACACAAAGACCATCAAATCACACGCCAGCTGCTGCACATTACCCACAAACGGCAGAAGTTACAATTCTATACTGTTTTATTGTCTTCTTAGATGAGATGTCCCAGTTTGCTGTCTTCATCAAATTAAACTTTTAAAAAAGCATTAACAAATAGCTTCAAATAACTTAAAAAGTAAAAAATTAAATGTAAAGAATATGGCTGAAATATTCAGAAATATTTAAGTAAAAATAAAACCCTTATTCTAACCTGTATTCTTGCTGTCAAATGGGTAAAACCTGGTGATTTGAAGGATTTAAAAAGTGGCAAAGATTTAAAAAGATAATTCATTAGTATTTTAGGGCTGAACTGTGATCCTTAAATACAGTATTTTAATGTCATCTAATTATTCTTTGTGTAGCTTTTTTTGGTATGTGATCTATTATTACACTGAATGACATTTTAGTGGGTGTTTTCTGAAAATCATGGTAAAAATGTATGATAGTCATTGTTTTGCTCAGAACAAGTAAAATGAAACAGGAAATTCTAACGTATGAAGGGAAAACCCTTAAATTTTAAAGCTGTATTAAACTTTTGTTTTGATGCTTGAAAACCTTTTTCATACTTGACCCAAAGATTATTGCAGTATGTTTTACAAGAAAATATGGTAACACTTTACTTAAAGCCTTTATGCATAATGCATTATAAAGGTATTCATAATGTACATTGTAATGCATTATATCTTTTCATCATTTTTTAAAAACAAATCTAAAATGCATTATAATATCTGTAGGTTTGGTTTTCATGTGCATTATACTTTTTAAAAGTGTAACAACAAATATTGAAGTATTATAATTGTAGTTACAATTATTCATGAGATCATACAATGCATTACAAGGCATAATTAATGCATTGAAACTACTTTTATAATGCATTATACATAAAGGCTGTGATGGTGATAAGTAAAGTGCTACCAAAAATACTAGTTCAGTTTTTCAACTTCAAAATTTCACGTTTAAGTCCATGTAACTTGCTGTTTTATAATTATTTGTGAAATTTGAAATAGTAAATCATACAGTAAATGAAAAATAAAACACAAAGTAATAATGTATAAAAGAGAAGAAAAGGCCATTCTTACCAGAAATACCAGAGTCTCTGGATGGAAAGCGCTCGGACGCAGCAGCGAGTCCCACAGCAGTCCTCGTACGAGCGACATCTGTGGAGAAACTTGGCTAAGTCGTTATTGGCTAAGAAATGTGACTCTGGAGCACAAAAGCAGTCATAAGCAGCACAGGTATATTTGTAGCAATAGCAATAGGTCAGAATGATTTATTTTTCTTTTATGCCAAAAATCATTAGGATATTAAGTAAAGATCATGTTCCGTGAAGATATTTTGTAAATTTCCTACCGTAAATATATCAAAACTTAATTTTTGATTAGTAATATGCATTGCTAAGAACTTCATTTGAACAACTTTAAAGATGATTTTCTCAATATTTAGATTTTTTTGCACCCTCAGATTCCAGATTTTCAAATAGTTGCATCTCAGCCAAATATTGTCCAATCCTAACAAACCATACATCAATGGAAAGCTTATTCAACTTTCAGATGATGCATAACTCTCAATTTGGAAAAATTGACCCTTATGACTGGTTTTGTGGTCCAGGGTCACAGATACCGTTGGTGAATGAGTGAAGCAGTGAGAAGAAACGACGGTCAAAGAGACTCATTTTCATCACAGCAGGATCTCTCCAACTGCTGAACGGGGATTTTCATTTTGTAATTGTGTTATAATGAGTAGCAATTAAAAATGAGTTGAGCCAATGTTATTAGCGGCAGAATGGGGCAGTAATGACCAACAAAACATGATTTGTCTACTATATGGAAATGTTATTATAAAATATATATTATTTTTTTAATTACTATAATTATTTATTGCATTAAACATTGCAATACATACATGAAAGCACAATATACATCTATCTATCTATCTATCTATCTATCTATCTATCTATCTATCTATCTATCTATCTATCTAATGTTTTTTAATAGTCACTTTTAAGTCACTTTTGCTCACCCAAAGTTGTATTTATTCGATCAAAATACAGTAGAAATTATGAAATATTATTATGATTTCAAACAGCTGTGTTCTATGTGAATCTCTGTTAAACTGTAATGTATTTCTGTGATGCGCAGCTGTATTTTCAGCATCATTCCTCCAGTCTTCAGTGTCACATGATCTTCAGAAATCAGTATAATATGCTGATCTGCTGCTCAAGAAACATTTCTGATTATTATCAATGTTGAACACAGTTGTGCTGCACAATATTTTTGTGGAAACAACATCACAGTGCAGTTTGAGTAGTTATGGTCTGTCAGAGCTGAGACCCAATGCATTATTGATTCACAGATAATATCACCTGAAATATGAACATATGCTGAGAAGCATCAATTATTCAGATTCTCTCAGTTAAAGCATGCCTGTGCATCTGATCAGCAAACCCAACACTTGTTTGTGTGGATCCTATAGCAATAAAGACATGAAGCAGAGCAGAGTGTTGTTTCATTTGAACTATTGCTAAAGTATTTTATCACTTCTAATTTTTGTGGTTACCCAACACATATAAACTGGTCTAAATCTGTCACACAGCCCAAGACGTCAACTACAGAAGATACTGGAAACATTTCCACTTCCTTTAATAAGTTGTTTATTTATTATTCTGTTATTACTTTATTATTTACATTAAGCAGTAATTAATGAAAGTTTACGTAAATGCATTAGTTGAGTTCCTATTGAATTCCATGACTCTCAATTTACTTGAACTGAATGAATGTAGATTGCGGAGAAAACACAATCTGATCAGCATTATCAGAGCAGCAGGCGGTTCTCCTTCAGGTCCTGTGGCGAAGTGCTATCGGTTTCAGATAATAAAATGAACGGACAGTGATGTCAAAGGATTGAATCCAGTATTTATTTTAATTCTGAGCTTTTCTAAACGCTGTGATTTATGCAGCTTCTGCTAAACAGGGAATCAGTTCAGAGCAAACTGAAAGCCCGTGCATGAGAAGAGAAAGAACTGTGCTGATTTGCTGTTTAATGCTGGTTTCTCCAGTGGCTCTTCTGTCCCGTCACATCAAACAGAGATGAGCTGGAGCTCTTCAGGAGGACTCAAAGGCCATTTTAGCAGAGCTTCAGCTCGACCACAGCACTAATGACTGAGACTCACTAATCAAAGCAACGACCGACAGAGAAAGGACCGTCTCAGCAGCTAAAACCCTGCTCGTTTAGACTTCTGCAAAACCCAAGAGCAGTTAGAATCCTGAACAAGCACTACACATGTTCAGCTCTATATTCTGTGAACGACAGCATGTTCCTCTAAACAACACTGAAAGCACTACACCCTTTTTCCAAGCTGTGCCATATTGTGAAATGAGAAATAAATGAGCCCATCAGAACCACTGCGATCTATTAGCATACTTAATGGGCCATTTCTGAGGAGCCAGCGGGAGGAGAACGTGATTATTACCATCAGAGGAGCAGCATCACAACGATACCTCCCTCTGCAACAATACATCAATCAGAAATTAATTAAAAAAGAAATACATCAGCCTGTACACAAGACACAGTGTTTAATGCCAACCAAATCATAAATGATTTCATACCATACAGCACTAAAGAAAGATCAAATATAATCTCACTTTAAATATATAAAAGTGCAAACATTCAGGGGAAGGTTTTTTTTCGTGGGACAAAATCAATACTTTTATTAATCAAGGACGCATTAAATTGATTAAAAGTGACAGATCAAATGTGACACTGAAGACTGGAGTAATGATGCAGTACATCACAGCAATACATTACATTTTAACATAATATTCACCTAGAAAACTTTTATTACAATTTTACATTTTGACAATATTTCATAATTTTTGATCAAATAAATGCAGGGGGGTGGGGTTAACTTGATAATCTCTTGAATCCCTTCATAATGGAATATGATTTATAGGTTGCAGACAAATCATTATTTATTAATTTATCACTATAAAATGGGACTTCATTTCTTGCATGCTATAGCACTGTCATTTCTATTATTCTGTTTCAGTGTACGCCACTGTATCTCATCTGTTCTGTTCTGTTCTGTGCAGTGAAGGTTCATCTCTGCCATAATACATCACTATTACCTCATTCATAACTAATTCATATGAACTGAATCTGCAGCCCGCAGGTTTCTGCATTCTGCATCTTCCTGCATCTTCAATTATTACATATTGTGGCTATTCTGAAAACAGCACTTAAACAATCTGCTTCAAATACTTAAATACTTGTAAAGCAGTTTTATTTATTACATTTAAAATATTGCTGCATCTCAGAGAATTATAAAGGAGTCAATGACAAAGAGTGTGTTGAAGAAAAAGAAAAATCTTTAAAAAGAAATTTGTGTAGCCAATTATCATTTCCTTCAATACACGCAAGTATAAAATTAATTAATTAAATAGTGAATTTAATTAAAAAAAAAAAAAAGAGTTGTCATACAAAGGTCAAATTACTTGATTTAAGGAAAAAACTGCTTTCATTTATTTATTTGTTTGTTTACATGTTTCTGCATATATTTGCTTTGATTTTGGGAGACAAAAGTTTTTCAAATCACATTTAAAATATTGTTGGCCCTGTTCAAACATTATATTAGGTTATATTATTTTTTTTGTATTTTATTTATTTATTGCTTTAGGAATATTATTTGTTTTGTTACTAATGAATCATACCATGCAGAAATAAAAGAGTTGTATAGTGCAAGCTATGTGTAAATAGAAGCAAATAAAGTCAGAGCCTCAGCCGGCGTCCTGCTGAAAGCATCAATTTAATATAAATCTAATGTCACAGAACCGTCTTTAACAATGAATTCTCTCAGGGCCTAATGGATCGGAATAGACTGTGATTTACGTAAATTATAGGACTATATCTCAGCGTGTGTCAGACAGTTTACCACGGCAAAATATACCACTTATCAGTTCTGAAGTGAGCAAACGCTGTTCTGTTCTGTGCTGATATTAACCTTTACCTGTATGTGAGTCAGAACAGTGTTGGCGTTGAGCTTCTCGAGTGTAAGGACAGTTCAGCTTCAGAGTTTTTCCTCTGAAGCTCTTCATATCTGAGAGAATGACTGGACTTCAAGCACGAGTCAAGATGTCAGTGCTGATTTTCAGCAAACCTCTGGGAGAATCATCACACGCTATCAGTCACACAAACTGAAAGGATCCAAAATAAGTCCTGTAGTATATAGTATGTTGAATATGTAGCCACTTTTTTGCTTATGACTGAAATGTATGTCTCTCCTATTAATTAAGAATACTCTGACTAATAATAAACAATAAAAAATGTTCTTACTTGTAAGACATTACAAAAACATTTGGTGTTGCATTTATTTTGAAACAATTTTCACTCGGAAATTGCTAGTAAAAGTTTACAAATGATTATGAAGAAACACCTTGGGTTACATATAAGAGAAGGTGTCATAAAATTGTTAGTTTGAAGGAGATGTGAAACAGGCATGGCAAGGGGACGCAGTCTCGTTCCCTCTCAGAGAACCATGCATAACCCAAGACGTTCCCCTCCAAGGGAACTCGCACTGTGTCCTCTAGTGGACACTATTGGGAATGAAATACCCACTATGCCATGCCTCGGTGCATTGCCTGTC